CCACGTTATCCATTTACGATGTGTGTAGCGAGTAGCGTGGACTCAACATCAATCGCGAGTAGGACATTTTCTGATAAGAACAGAATTTTTTAAAATAAAAATCTCATTCTATTCAAGCAAAAATAATTTTCGTTCCTCTTCGTTTCATTTCATTGTTTTCCCTCTCTTTCTCCGTCTTTGGAGGGAAAGCAAAAACCCCAGAGAACCTAAATCCCATTAGGGTTTCAATTTACTCAATTTCGCATCTCTCTTTGTCCCCATTTTTCTTTTTTCAGCTTATCTGGTAAGCAATTTTGTTTTCATTTTAGTTCATGTTTCTTGTAGCTAAAGTTCGTAGCATTAGTTGTTGCACACAGCTTTTCTTTGATGAACTCTATGTAGCTTAACTTAAATGCTATGTTTATAGTACTGGTTGGACTATCCTTGTTCGAGAATCAATAGGGTTTAAGTTGGTTTTGTGCATTTCTTCATTCGGTTGTTTTGTTTGCAATTACTTGTAGGTTTAGTGTGTTCTGTTTTGGGGAGCTGGTGTTCCCCAGCGTTTTAAAATTTCCCCCCTTTTCGATGATTTAAATAGAATGGGAGCTAGACTTAAATTAGGAGAACAGTTTTGGGTATGATCTGGTTTTGAATGGAAACAATTTTAAATGAGAAGAGGCTAGGCTACTGCTTTGAGTAATCTAAATCAGGATTAAGCTAGAGATTTTAGACGATTGTCTTTTTCAATTGTTTCGGTCTATATTAAATAAGTCAGAACATTGTTTGACTGGAGTTCAAGTTTATTTCTGAAAAAAATTGTTTTATTATAAACGCTTTAAATTTGATGCTATCCTGAAGATTAGGACGAAACTTCTGGTCCAATGCAAACAAAGAAAATAATTTCTGGAAGAATTGCTTCTCGAGATTATGCCAGTCCCAAGGCTTCAAGATCTCAGAAGAAGGTATCCGAGAAGGTACAAGGTCCAGAGAAGAAAGTAAAAGAGATAATTACATCTTCTGTTAGGAAGAAGAAACCTGGTATGTTGCTAATTTCATCTCATTATTTGTTTGATTGAAAGGAGATTGCATTGATAATACTTTTCATGTTATCAATTTTGGCACCATTGAAAAGTTTCAGCAGGTTTCATTTTATGTGGTTTCCATGTCAAAGTCTGTCCTTAACTGTCAGATTTGCTATGTTAGTTAAATAGTGAAATTTATCAAATTTCAGCTAGCACACTCCCAAAGAAAAATGAAGTGTCTGTTGAGGCTACGAATTTAAATGCTAGATATGGCTTGCCACATGATGATGCTTGTCTGGGATTTGATGTGGTTAATGGTGTTCATGTAGATCATACGGTAATTTGTTTAGCTTTTGTTTTAGTTAGCTCTATGCTGCTGAGATTTTGCTTACTTCTTTAATTGTGTTGCAGGTCACTGATCATCATATGACTGGTACTATATTTTCTCCAGGCTTCCACATACCTAAGAATTGCGGAGCTGAGATTTCATGCGCAGGTAGGTGATATATATATGTGTGTCATTTGTAATACCTGTCCATGCTTTTATTTCATTTATGTGATATTGTTATCTTAATGCGTGCATGATGTATCCATATGACTTTGTCAGAGGTTGGTATGTATGCTCAAACTGGAGAAACTCTTAAGTCTACTTCTGTAGAGGTGGACATGAATCCTGTTATTTGTACCAAAGATTCTGGAGCTGTCCTTTCATCTGAAGCTTCAGCCATATACATGGCCATGAAAAACTCGAAATTGGAATGTATTGATGAGCGCAGTCAAGATTCTATGTCAACTGATGTCTGTGTGGAGGATGAATACTATGAGGAATTTGATGACTTTGATCCTTATTTGTTTATAAAGAATTTACCGGAGTTGTCATCTCTTGTTCCTGCTTTTCGGCCTGTGCTGCTACCCAAGCAGACCCGAAGTTGCCCACCTACGACTCTAGTCTTGGATTTGGATGGTGAGAATACTTTTGAATAATTAAATTGGATGAACTTTTATGCTTACAGTTGTGTTGTAGGCAATATTTTAAACCTGAGCAACAAGTTTTAGATTTATATTCTTTTTTATCTTAGTATTTAAGCAGATCTGAATTTACAACTGATTCTTTGCTTAGAAAAATCTAAGCTTATTTTTGAAATGCCATTAGAACTCCTTAATAATTTTTTAGGTTTGTCTATATTTAACATTTTTTAGCATTGAATTTTCTGCTTATAATTGGTAAGGATTACCCTGGGATATTGATTCGATTGTGTTGCTTTGGCAGAGACTTTGGTTCATTCTTCACTACAACCTTGCGACGATGCAGACTTCACATTCCCTGTAAATTTTAATCACCAGGAACACACTGTTTATGTTAGATGCCGTCCTCACCTAAGAAATTTTATGGAACGAGTTTCCGGTCTTTTTGAGATAATTATATTTACAGCAAGCCAAAGTATATATGCTGAGCAACTTCTAAATGTGCTTGATCCAAAGAGGAGAGTATTTCGCTGTCGTGTTTTCCGAGAATCATGTGTTTTTGTGGATGGTAATTACCTCAAGGATTTGTCAGTCCTTGGCCGTGATCTGGCACATGTAATCATTATCGACAACTCTCCGCAGGTACTTTTGGGCTCTTGTGTGGACTTTGTATTAGTGCTTCTGCTGAACACTGCAAAAAAAAGGAATATGGTTATTTTCCAGTAATGCACACCCAGTATGTAGGACATGGTCTTAGCATTAAGAAAACTATTTCTGCTATGGTTCTGATAGGTTTAGTATGGAAGGCATATAGATACATCTATATTTTTTCTTATTGGTTATTTGGTTTATTATATTTGTGTGGTCGACCACACTTCTCGCACGCATAATCTGATGAAATCCGTGAAACCAGTTTATGGAACCTTTGGTCTGTGTTTTGGGAAAAGAAAATTATCCGATACATAGTCTGGTTTATACAAGCCTGTCCATTTTAGGGTTTATAAGGCCTATTTGGGGTTTATGGTTGTAGTGATTAGGGTTGTGTGGAATAAATTTTGCGTGTGTATCAAATGATAACCTTTTTACGAAATGGTTAATATTTCTCTCGAGGAGAGTTAGAAGCTGAGTAGTTCAATCCTTCTCAATGTTTGTCTATTGAAGATGCCTATTAGTCTCGATATCCTTCTCAAACATTGTTTCCGAAGTTTAACCGAGGTGTTTGTTGGCTTTCTTAGGCATTTGGGTTCCAAGTGGACAACGGAATTCCAATCGAGAGCTGGTTTGACGACCGTTCAGATCAAGAACTACTTTCACTACTTCCGTTTTTGGAGAGCTTGGTTGGAGTCGAAGATGTGAGGCCATTGATTGCGAAGAAATTCAATCTTCGGGAGAAAATAGCCGCAGCTGTCTATCCCACTTCAAATTTGAGCAGAAGAGACCCTTTTGAAAGGTGAGCTTCATCATGAAACTGAACTGCAAACGCAAGGTTTATAGTTTTGAATAGGGATTGATTTTGATCCTCTATCGTAGACAGTTATAACCATTCTCTTTGTTTATGGCATGAGCCTAACTCTGACTCGGAGGATCTTTGAACGAGTCGATCAAAAGACTCGAAATCGAGAGTGTGGGATTCCAAATAGGAAAAAAAGGGTGGGAGGGAGAGAAATAAGTCCAGGTGTAGTCGTGTGTTCGAACAGTCTGAAAAAGATTTAACATAGGCTAAAGTGTAACTCCTATTCAGATTGAATGATGTTACTGTGTGCGTAGAAAAATAAATGTTAAAGAGTTGTGTGGATTTAATATCTGAAGCTGGTCGAGTAGTTTTCTTTTAACATTCTGTTGATTATTTACGATAATATTCGTAACTATTCTCGAGTTGGATGTGAAAGAAGTCCGAAGTTTATAAATCGAAACATTATGTACATAAAATGAAGCTCGAATCGAACGTCCTAAGGCTTCGACCAATGCGAGTTTGATCATGTCTTCTGAAGGGGTTATATGCATTATTGTTTTATACACTTTCTTCCTTAAATCGCACTTAATATCAATTTAAACAGAAAGGTTGCATAATTTCCACGAAGTAAACGCCTTCCACCTTTCCATCGCGAATCCCTTGTTTTTCCTTTCGTCCCTTTGATCAAATATCCATCGTTGGATCCTCATCAAACGATCCAGCCTAAATTCCGGTCTGTTACGGTCCACCATCGGCATCGTCGAGGGTGCCGTCACAACCATAATTGGCCCCGTCTATGAGAAGTTTAAGGACGCTCCGGGTCATCTTCTTGTGTTTCTTGATAGGAAGGTAATGTATATTTATGTTTAATGGATTATAGTGTGTAATTTTGCGAACTGTCGGTCAATTGTAAAATTCTGTTAGGATCATATTTTTTTCAATTAATTATGCGAACCAGTTTGTTCTTAAATTAACTGCGCAGGTAGACGAGGCTACTCACAAATTTGACGAGCATGTGCCACTAGCAGGTAAGGAAATGGTGAACCAAGCGCGATATTTGGTTCACAGGGCTGCACAATAGGCTCAGAAATTAGTCGACAAGGCTCGAACTAGCGGCGCTCACGGCTCTTTGAACTTCGCCGCGAGTGAGTACGGGCAGTTCGTCCTGGTGATTTCGACCAAGTTGTGGGTGCAGGTGAACCACAGTTCAGCTTTCCACTCGGTTGCGGAGATGATCATTCCCACGGCGAAGAATTTGTCCGAGAAGTACAACTGCTTGGTTGAGGACATGAGCGGGACACGTTACCCTGTGTTCAAGTATTTGCCATTGATCCGTTTGCCGAGTTGAGTAAAGCCGTCAAACAAGCTGAAGCGAAGGACAAGAAACACGTTATCGATGCTCGTAAATCGAATTCAGGGTAGGGAGGTTGTCTTTTTCTTTCTCTCTTTGGTTGTCTCATAATGATTTGCTTTTGCTGATAAATCAAAGAATTCATATTTGATCTTTGCAATGTATAATCAAAATATGGAATAGGATATGGTGCTTAAGAGATTCTCTGAATAGTACAAGAGATAAAGAAAAAAAAGATAAGAGTAAGCCCCCATCTATGCACTCATCCCACATGGAACTAGAACTGCGCCGTTCCGGCAACCATTGTCGTCGGTGAAGTTTGATATTTAACCTCGAATTTACCACCAAAACTGGCCTCGATTTCTCCCGTTTTTCATTTTTTTTTCTTTTACCCGTGGCCTTGAAAAGTTAAAACTAAATAATAAATTACCGTGAGCCTTTTTTTTTAATTTTCTGCGACGGCTTCATCGTTCCCATTTACCGCTTCGTTTCCCTCGCCACCATCGCCTTCTTCGCCGAGCCACTGGTCCACCGGAGCGCACTCAGCTTTGTGGCGGAGCTTCCAGTCGAGAGCCTGGCAAGCGCGTGAGCAGTAATTCACTGTCCCGCAAACGGAACACCTCCGGAACTCGTGTTTTCTCGTCTCCGGTCTCCCGCACCCGACGTGGGAGCATAGTCTCAATCCCGGGCCTGGCACGCCGCCCCGAGCGCCGAACCATTCGACTAAGAACTTGCTAGCCGGATGAGCCTCCGGAGCCGGCACATTGCAACCAAAATCGCTAAGCAACGGGCAACCCGCCAGGATAGGGTGTGTGCTCCATGTGAGCCAAGAGCGTGTCAATTTGTTCGAAGCAGCCGCCGTTGATGACAAAATCGCCGCTAGCTCTCGAGCGTTGGCTTGGACAAGAAACCGACGGCCCTCGACGATGTTCTTCCGGACGCCGTATCCATCTTGAAGGCAGTGACCGAGCTCGCGGAGAGCGTCGATGTGGCCAAGAAAAGCTGCTCGAGCACACAAAGCCACGCCGCCTCTAAGATCCTTGTCGTTCTTGGCACCGCCGCTTCCGTTAAATTGAATCACAGCTAAGGAGTAAAGCGCCGGTGCGTGGGAGCTAAGCGCCGCCTTAGCCATAAGAGAGGCTCCACCCGCTCGATTTTCCAAACAGTAAAAAAGAATCTGTTTCGAATCATACAACAGTTAACCACGATATAGAATGTTTATACTCTTCAATAAAAAATTAAAAAATAATATTTGAAACTCACCATGCCGAGTGCATAGCAAGCTTCCACATTCCCAGCATCAGCACAGTTCTTCAAGAACCTCTGAGCTGAGTCGGACCAGTTTCTAGCTTTAATCTCAAACATTTTTGGAGAGGCTTTGGATAATACCAGACGATGAAGCGCTAAACAATTAAATCTCTTGCATCTGTTTAATAAAACAAACCAAAAAATCAATAATAAAGAAACAAACTTCAACGAGAAACAAGCAACTCCAAAAAAAAAATCTACGTACATAACCAAAACGTTGGCGAAATCGGAAGGGCGACGGGCGGTTGAGCTTAGTTTGGAGAGAATAGAAATCACAAGATCATCAGGCAAAGCATAAAAAAAGTCTCTCTTTCTGGAACTCTCCGGCGAGAGCCTTCGTCGTTTCCGGCAACCCATATTATCTCCGGCGAAACCCAAAATTTTAACATCTATCTTCTCTAAACAAACATCGGCTGTGGGATAACAAAGACCCCTCCTCGTTCTCATTTTTTTTGTCTAGAAAAAAAATCTATACCCTAAGTGATCTCAAAATCTGTGCACTCATCGTCCTCCTTTTACTTTCTCAAACTTTTTTCTTGCCGCCCTTAGTGGCTCAATATATACACACAAGCAAAGCGGAAACCTTTTATAGAGAGATCGAAACAGAATCGAATCAGATAAAAAAGTAATAATATAAACAGTAAAACACCTGTTTGGTTTTAATTACACCCTTAACCCTGTTGAGTATTTGTTTCTACGGTCAAACTCCATTGACCCAGATCCCTGAAAGGAGAACACTCTGAGCTCTGTTTTTATCATTTTTACCATCTTGTTCTTTTACCTGACCTTGAAGGCATAATGGACGAGAAGAGGTACTTTAGAGGGAGAGGTAAAAAGATGAAATAGATTTACCTTTTATGCTTGGTGCAGGTGAAAAATGGTTGCGGGTTTGTTTTGAAAGCGGTTAAATTTGTTGCAAGTAAAAGCAACTAACTACGGTTATTTTTTCGTGTAATTCAGTTTTGCGTACGGTTAAGAAAGAAAAATCAATCAACGTAATTCCGGCGCGTGAACACCGCCGACCGTTTTGGGATCTTGGTTCGGAAGTGAATTCCACGCTCTTTGTTTGCGGGTGGGGGAAATTTCCATCTCCTTTACGAGCTCAGGGTTCTGACTATAGGTATGTCAAATGTATTAATCAGGACGAACGAACGTTCAGCTACTCTTCATTGTTTTACTAATAAGTCCCTTAATTTTGGAATTTATATGGTCTTAGTTGAATTATTTAAATTTTTAAGGGACTAAAACTGATACTCTTACCATTAACCAATGCAGGCTAAGGTTTAGGTCCATGCTTGCCAAATTTTGGGTAAAATATGCATTTAGTACCTAAAATATTAATTTGGTCCATTTTAATACTTAAATTTTCATATTTTTTTTCAAAATCATATCAAGCATTTAGTTTTTGTTTTATTTTAGTACCTCCACGTTAAAAACTTAACGGGTGTACTGACATAACATAGTTTCGGTGGACAGACGACCAATCCGAATGTTGAATCACGAGAGAATGACGAGTCAACCAACATAATCTAGTTTCAGGCCCATCGGACGGTGAACCATAGGGATTGGAGGATAAAGAAATGAAATATTACATTGTCAATTTGAGGAGATTGATGCGTTTTTCTCTGAAACAGATATAGAAATCGAGTTTAGGGGGTCGAAAATGTACGAGTTGGAAATTTTGAACTTCATTGACCGACGGATATAACAGCTGACGACTATAGACTCGACAACCATTGAGTCGTCTGTTAAGTTTTTAACGACAAATTACTAAAACGAAGCAAAAACTAAACATTATGAATTATTTTGAAAATAATGAAAATTTTGATACTAAAACAGATCAAACCTGATAGTTTAGATTCTAAACACGTTATTTACCCTAAGGGGGTGTTTGGTTCAAGGAATGTGGGATTCCCATGGGATGGGAATCCTGCATTCCCATGTTTGGTTGGCCGGGAATCTCATTCCCGGTAATGTTTTATTACCAATAGTAGATTTTTTGGGGTATATTACCGGGAATGTCATTACCTCCCTTCCCTTAGGTATTGTAACATTACCGGCGTTTTGGACTAAAATATCCTTAAATTTTTATTTTTTTTCAAAAATATCATTCTTCTGTCATTGAATAATAAAAATTCTACGAAGGTTAAATTACAAATTTATCCTTAAATTATTTTAGATTTACAAAAAAAATCTATAATTAAAATTTTATATGAAGTTTAGGGGTTAAATTTTTTTTACCCTTTCATTAAACATTTTTTATATTTTTAATTTTGTAAAAAAATTATATAAATATTATGAATTTAATTTTTTAAAGAAAATATATAAATATTTTACAATTTGTAATATTATACAAATATATAATAAGGACAATTTGGTCAAATATACATTCCAATAATCTTTTATTCCTTTAACCAAACACGGTAATCTTACATTCCTGCTAAACCAACCAAACACAAAATACAACATTCCCAGTAATCCTATTCCCTGGTAATCTTTTATTCCCACTGGTAATCTTACATTCCGTGAACCAAACGCACCCTAATTGTTTTTAAACATAGTACTAAAGATTATGAATTATTTTGAAAATAATGAAAATTTTGATACTAAAACAGATCAAACCTGATAGTTTAGATTCTAAACACGTTATTTACCCTAATTTTTTTTAAACATAGTACTAAAGATTATAAAAATCGAGAGGAATGACGTGGAACTCAAGAGTGATGTCGACCACTTCATGTCATGCCACGTGGAACCCTCCTGTCCCCTTACACTTCCCCCTTCTCCAAGGCAGGGAAAGCAAACACATTTTTATTGATAGAGATTTTTTTTTTTTGAACTTTAAATACACCGTTAAAAATTCAATATTTCTCCCGATTAACCATTTTTAAAAATAAAAAATATTAATTAAAAATATATAATATTTTTTTTCATAATTTTATTTTATTATTTATATTTGAAATCTGTGATTTCTCACTCCTAATGGTAACGTGTTCGATGTTTAAACGTAGTCCCCAGAGGCATCATTATCCATAATCAAAAGAATTACTTGTTAACTTCGTGAAATTAGGATCAAATCTAATAATGATGATAATGTTTTATTATTCCGACGAATAAAAACAAGCATCGGATTGCTAATATATGTTAGGGCCGGCGCAGACAAATAAGAAATTGATTTCGACGCCTAATAATACAGTCTTAGCCTTAATTACATGTTGATTATAGACAAGACGTGTTTTATATTTGTACGCTTCACCCTTTCATATCATGCTTTTCTTAACTATCACGAGTAAGGTTTTAAATTACGGTCGTGGTCGTGTTTTTAGTTATTTCAGATTTATCGTGATTGCGGCGGTCGCGGGCGTTAGTACGGTTGTCGCGGACGCTATTGCTGCCGTCGCAGGTAACTCGAACAACGGTAAAACCGCTATATCGCGGCCAAAATCACGATCATGGATCGTTTTTTAAAACTCTGATCATAAGCATTAGCACACTTACTTACTTTTGTACTTTAATTATATTCTTATAAAATAGAAAACCAATTGATAAATGGATTGCAGATTCTAATAAAAATAGCATTATCTAAAATAGTTGTTATCCAACTCATTTAAATAATGAACAAATAAGAAGCAGACGTGATCGATAATTAAAGGACTTGTTGTTATTAGGATCGAGCATCGCATATATATGTATATAAGCGTTTATTGTCGAATGATTGAGAATTTTGAAACATGTACTACCTTATATTCACCCTTATAACATCTATGCATAAATTTAAATTATAGGGTAAACTACATGTTTAGCACTCAAACTATCAGTTTTGTTTCATTTTAATGCCTAAATTTTCATTTGTTTCGAAATTATACCTAAACGTTTGATTTTTGCTTTATTTTAATACTCAAACGTTAAAATCTTAACAACTCTGTATTTTTTATGGGTAAATTATATCATTCACCACTCAACTATCTTCTCACTCCTATTTTGGTGACTAAAGTTTAAAAAAATCAATTTAACTACCCAACTTTCAAATTACTCCTATTTTAATCACTCTAATTTATTTTATTAATAAATTTTTTGATATGACATTTATTATTATTATTATTATTTTATTAGTATATAATTAAAAAAATAAAATTGAAAGTGAGAGTGATTAAATTAGTAGTGATTTTGAAAGTTAAGTAATTAAATTAAAAAAAATTAAACTTGAGTGACTAAACTAGGAGTAAGAAGATAGTTGAGTGATGAATGATGCAATTCAACCATAAAAGGTATCCAATACAGCAGTGTCGTTAAACTTTTAACGGTGAGGTAGTAAAATAAAACAAAACAAAAGGTAAATGTTAGGTGTGATTTTGGAACAAATAAAAGTTTATGTATTAAAGCAAAACAAAATTGATGGTTTATGTACTAAATGTCTAGTTTACCCTAAATTATAACACCTTAACTTGACTTGTTATAAACGATTGGCTTACGATGTTACTCTGGATCTTTCGAAGTGAATGTCAGGGGAGTGAGCTTTTAAAATTTTATAAATGGGCGAACTTATAAATTTTTAGGAGGTAAAAATATATTTTCTATAGAAAATACATAAAAAAATCTCTAAAACATATGATAATTCTAAATTTTCAGGGAGTAAATGCCCCAACCCGCTCTCACTCGCTATATCCCTGAGTACTCTTAACCTGATGCCATCAGATCTTTAAAATTGAATTGTGAGTACAAATGGGGTTGATTCAAGTGGTAAGCAGTTTGATATCGCTTAAGCAATATTTAGTGTTAGAGTCATTGTGTATACAAAAAAATTCTGTCGAGAGACTTATCCACCAAAACCAGTGTGTGACGCTGGTCGATCCGGATTAATCAGGACGGAACCTTTAACCCAGGGGGAATTGAGTTGTGGGTTATGTTGGATTAATGGGAGCACATGCAACTCCAACAACTTATCTAAATGTTTAACTAATGTCATAGAGTTTTCCAACCAACAACATTACCGACCGATGGAGGTTGAGGCCTGAAAATTCTAGTCACAAATGGCAAAACTTGTTTAATCTTTATACTTTTAAAAAACCGCACCTATAAAATAATTGTAGATTTTAATTTTTTATGTATTTTCTATTAAAATATATTTTCAACCCTCTAAAATTCTATAAATTTAAGTTTCCCCTTAAATTTTAAAAGTTTAAGTTTATCTCCTAACATAAAATTATGCGTCCGTCCGGAGCATATGAGAGATATGATGATGGGGCTGGTTGGGAGCCACATCTCACATGCAAGAAAGAGCCACCTAGGACTGAGATGCCCTTTGATTTTACTACAATGAAAAATATATTTACAGCTGATTGAATCTTAATTTATATTCAATATCATTTACGAAGTAAAGGTTAAATTTATTATTAATCCATAAATCATAATCGGAAACCCTACGAGAACACTGCAGGCTGCAGCTGCAAGACAACATATATAAATTGCAGCAATAATATATGTGTAGAATCATGTTACATAATGTAAAACTCTTTTAGTTT